AATACCCCACACTTCTGCACACGTTAACCATGTTCATAAGCCAAACTTAACTATTTTAAAAGACTTTTGCAAAATATTTTTTAAAGTAAGTTTGATTGTTATTACCTAGTAAAGAGTAATCTCCATGACTTAATTTAAACATTTCTTGAAATTATTTATGGGTTCACTTTGGGTATGCTTCAGGGCCATTTACTTTTTTTGAAGTATTTCAAACATTCAGAAAAGTACAGAGAATAATATGATTGATTCTGTGATCAGCTTTATCTAATCTTAAAATGTTGACAAAATTAATTGTCAGTTTTAGAAGGAAAATATTAGAAATATATTAGAACCTCCTTGGTACCTCTCAGCAGATTGTCCCTCCCTCTCTCCCCAGCTAGCTGTCACCCTGAATTGGATGATTGTTCTGTGGCTCACACATTCTTCTATGTTTATCACACGCATTCCTTATTTATCCCCAAGTACCTGTTATTAAACTCATGGTATTTGGCCTTTGAAAAAATCTCTAGAAGATCTTATTTTTGCCTATATTGCTCTTGATATTTCTAAAGCCAAACATTTAGCTGATAAGCAATTATTTTTGAGGTAACGCATGGTGGATGTTTCCGTTAAAATCCTCTTACTGTTCAGCAGTTAAATTTTAGTTCCCACCGGCAGTTCCCCCTTTTCCGTGACTTTGTTTCTTCACTGGGAACCTATTTCCCAGGCTCTCCACCTCCCTCTGTCAAGGGGCAGTTGGTCTCTGCCTTTATAAATGACAGTGCCCTTTCTTACGAGCAGTGACTGCTCTTCAGGGCCATTTTTTAAAAATATATTTTTATTGATTTTTTACAGAAAGGAAGGGAGAGGGATAGAGACTTAGAAACATCGATGAGAGAAACATTGATCAGCTGCCTCCTGCACACCCCCAACTGGGGATGCACCCGCAACCAAGGTACATGCCCTTGACCAGAATCGAACCTGGGACCCTTCAGTCCACAGGCCGATGCTCTATCCACTGAGCCAAACCAGCCAGGGCTTCAGGGCCATTTTGTATGTTGATGAAGTGTTTTGGGGAGAGTTATATGTTCTCTATGAACTATAATTAGAAACAACTTGTTTATTCACATATAAAGCACCTGATATGTAGCAGGTGTGCTAGCACTGGTGACATAACAGAACAGAAAAGCCTCAGTGTCTGTCTCTAGCAAATTTAAATTCTAGTTGGGAAGACAGACAAAACACAAACAAAACAAAAATATTAAGGCATAAAAATAAGAGCAAGTTCTAAAACACCCTGTGAAAACAACATAGTGTCAGAGAAAAATGAGAGAAGAGAACTTCCATTTTACAGGAAAAGTAGCAAAGCTCTGCTCTGAGCGAACATTTAAATCGAGACCCAAAGGCAGAGTAGCAGCTAACGAAAATGAAAGAGAAGTAAATGCCAACGTGAAAGCACTGAGGCAGGACAATGCTTGCTGTGTCCACTAAAGTGGTCAGGATTTGAGAGGGTCGCTCATGGTACCCAAAATGCGGAGACTAGGGTGGCTCCAGCGTCTCAGTGGTGTTTGTTTATGTGTGACATCCATCCATCACATGGACCAGAGTATTGTAACAGGCAGTAGTAATGCAACCCTGTCCTACATGCACATGGGTAAACAAAATAAAACCAGGAGATACTATGGAGTTTGACAGAATCCAAAAATTACCTCTACCCTCTTCGTATAATCTCACCCCACTTCCCTGGCCTCCCCTTTGCTCCCCTTTCTTTCTCTTATGGAAAGCTCAATCATCATCCAAGATTGCACTTCCAATGCCGAACCCTGGGAAGTCGTGTTAGACGTATCAGATATGTGTAGTCATCACACTAGAATATCCCAGTAATGCCTATTGATTATTTACAGCTCTGGGCATCCATCTCTCTGGAAATCCTCAAAGTCTTATTACCAAGAATCTTTTTTCCAATCTCGGGTACCTATTGGATATTTGTGGTCAGTATGCACTCAGCTGATTTTTTTTTCCTGAACTTTCATAGCTGAACAATATTCCTTCCAATGCATATATTCTTTAGCTATATTTATGAAGTCAGTAAACCGTGAGATCATTTCTTTAAGGTAACTTTGCATATTTATCTTCTTCCTCTTTAGGTTTTGCTCTTCTTGGAGCTTTCATGGTAAAATCTTATTTTTCACTCTTACTATTAGCTGGCACTTCTCTGCAGCCGTTAGGTACTGATAATACCCTTCCTTACTCTTGGCTTTCCGTTTGGCATGGAGTGGATATTTTTCATATCCTTAGGCATAAACATATTCACACATTTTTGCCATCTCTCTTTCAAGTTTACTCTTCCAGACTAAGGAAGACACTTGCATTTGCTTCTATTTGGGTGAAGACTACCTTAACATTTTAATGTCTCTGCTCTGGAGTATTTTAAATCAATATCAATAATTACTAAAATTTTATTCTATTGTTTATTGAATAAATGTGATAGTGTTATTGATTTTGTGCAAATAAGGGGGAGGGGAAACAAACTTGGGTCTCATTTCCTTCCTCCCTTCCTCCCTCCCTCCCTCCTTTCTTTCCTCCGACACATATAATTTAGTCCAGCACAGGCCCAGTCCAAGATGAAAATACAGAGCCTTTAGTTAGAAAATGATTAAGAAATTTAAAAATAGCCAGGTGGTGTTTCTCAGTAGGTTGGGTATCTTCCTGTGCAACAAAAGGTTGCCGGTTCAATTTCCAGTCGGTACATGCCCAGGTTGCAGGCTCAATCCCAATAGGGGACATGCCAGAGGCAGCCAACCTCTGTCTCTCTCTCCCTACCTCTCTCTCTAAAAATTCAATTTAAACAAGCATATTAAAAAAAATAAATTTAAAAATAGTAATTATAGAACATTAAACTGAGCATGGGACTTTTCTGAGCACAGGATCCTGTGCATTGCACAAATTGCATATCTATGAAGCTGACCCTGTGCAGGTCTTTGGAGCAGGTGGAAGCTGAGAATTAACTTTATAAATATACTAGAGGCCCGAGGCATGAAATTGGTGCATGGGGGGCGGTCCCTCAGCCCAGTCTGCACCCTCTCCAATCTGGAAACCCCTCGAGGGATGTCCGACTGCCTATTTAAACGGGCAGTCAGACATCCCTCTCACAATTCAGGACTGCTGGCTCCCAACCGCTTGCCTGCCTGCCTGCCTGATTGCCCCTAACTGCTTCTGCCTGCCAGCCTGATCACCCCCTAACTACTCCCCTGTCAGCCTGATCAATGCCTAACTGCTCCCCTGCTGGCCCGATTGCCCCTAACTGCCCTCCCCTGCAGGCCTGGTCCCCCCAACTGTCCTCCCTTGCAGGCATGATCACCCCCAACTGCCCTCCTCTGCTGGCCCAGTCCCCCCTAACTGCCCTCCCTTGTTGGCCTGGTCCCTCCTAACTGCCCTCCCTTGCTGGCCTGATCACCCACAACTGCCCTCCCCTGCTGGTCATCTTGTGGTAGCCATCTTTGACCACATGGGGGTGGCCATCTTGTGTGTTGGAGTGATGGTCAATTTGCATATCACCTCTTTATTATAGGATTTAGGTTTCAAATCAGTTTTATAATAAAATTTCATAAATACAGTTTTTGTAATAGAATAGTATATACATATAATAAAGTTGAATGACTATATTTATTTGGAACACTGTAACTATGTCTTTAGCACAGAGTATTGTGGTGAATACAAATATGTAGTTAATGAGAACACACTTTTATTTCAAATTTACTGTGGACTGTGTATAAGGCTTTGGTTTACCCTGAGGGCTCAGGAGCCTGATTGCTTGGATTCTAAGTGGGTCATTGGGCATAATCTCTTACTTTTCTGTACATAAGTGTACACACACACTGGGATAAGAGAACATCGATCTCATAGGTTTGTTATGTTGATTAGTATGTGTAAGCCTTTTGAGGAAGTCTACTCCACTTTTTCATATTCTTTTTATTTCTTTGGTTTTGCCATAGTGGATTCAATATCCCAGACTTCATTTCCTTTCTCTTTCATGATTATAAATGCATGTCCCATATAATATTAAAATATTTCACAGTATTGTTTGTCTAGAATTAAAAATTTGATAGTTACTACATAAGACATTCATTTCATGATGATAGAAATTTTTATTTTATTTTTATCCCCTGACTGTATGATGGTAGAAATTAATGATGCATTTTTTTATAAGAACATTTAAAGTGTTTTTCTCTTAAACACTCCTCCCCCCCCCCCCATTTGCCTTACTTAAAATCACCTGGCTAACAGAGCAATCCAATTAATTGTGTTACAGTCAATAAGGGACATAACTATAGACTTTAATTCAATTAAGATGAATTAAATAAGATGAATGCTAAATAAGTCTTGGCAATTTCGGCATTCTTAAATACATTTAAAAGCAAGCTTGTTTGGAAGTAATCCAGTGTGATTAATGTATGTTATTTGCTTTTATTTCTATATCACTGAATAATAACTTTTATATTAATATGGATTATATTTATTTGTAATGATTAGCCATCTGTTTTTTTGCTTTATTCAGAAGATTCATTAATTTACAACCTAAAAATTAAATCTCTACCATCATTAAGCACCATCTGAAATATTCAGTTTAAGAATCTAATACAGGACTATATCACAGAGTAATCATGCTGACTATATTTTATTTTCAGTACCTATGGAATATTTATTGAAAACTAGTTCAATTATGATAGATTCTAAGAAACTATTAATTTTGAGAAATATGCATACAAAAGAATACTCTAGTCAGTTGTAGTTTCCAAGTAAGAAGATCTTAACATTTCTAGGAATTTTGCACTTAGGGTTGCTAGAACCTATGAAATTAGTGAGCAACCTAGATATTTTTGTTGGTTCTGAAAGTTGAAAAGAAAGAGCAATATTCCTAAATATCACAGTTTTCTAACCATGCCATGAATTTGACCACTTCTGTCTCCTGTGCCTCTCATTACATAACATCTATATTCAATCTCTTTTTCTCCTATCAGACAGTATTACTGAAGTCTTCACCAACATCTACGTGACCAGTTTTGGCCCTGTCTCAGATACAGATATGGTGAGTTTTTCATTAAATACTGCTTTTACTTAATATATGCAAAGTTGGGAGGAATAATTTTTTTAGAAGAAAAGAGTATATTTAGTTTTATAGGATTATGTGATTGACTCCTGCCTATTTGTTCTAACCAAATACATGAGAGTTAAGGATGCTAATCCTTTTGTATCTATGGTGCACCATTATAGCTTGGGGTTTTGATTAGTCCTTTTAAATATATATATTCACTGAAAAAATAAGAGTTAATAGTATTGGTGAGGATGTGGAGAAAATGGAACCCCTGTGCACTGTTTGTGGGCATGTAACATGGTACAACCCCTGTGGAAAACACTATGGAGGTTCCTCAAAAATTTAAAAATATAATCCATAGGATCCAGCAATCCCACTTCTGAGTATCCATCCCAAGGAAATGAAAGCAGGATCACAAAGAGGTATCTGCCCTCCCCTGTTCATGGTGGGCTAATTCACAATAACCAAGGTAGAAACATGGTGTATATACACAGAGGGATGTTATTTAGCCACGAGATATAACAAAATCCTGCCATTTGCTACAAGACGGATTGATCCTGAGGGCATTATGTTAAGTGAATTAACAGAGAAAGACAAATTCCATGTGTATTACTTTTATGTCAAATAAAAAAATTAAGCTCATAGAAAGAGTAAAAATATGGCTGTCAGGGTCTGAGGGTGAGGATAGGGAGAGGTGGGTGTAAGAGTGCAAACTTCCGGCTGTGAGATAAAAGGTCTGAGGGTCCAATGTAAACCATGATGACTATACTTAATAACACTATTGCATAATTCAAATTTCTAAAAGAGTAGAACTGAAATGTCACACACACAAAAGATAACTAGTTGAGCTAGATGGGGGGAATTCTTTCACAATGTATAGGTACATTTAATTGCTACAATGCACACTTTAAATATCTTACAATTTTATTTGTCATTTAAACCTCAATGAAGCTGAATTTTTTTTTAAAAAAGGGAAGGGAAAGAAATAACTGCAATTATTTAGCTAGTGTTTCCATTTATGACTTCCTTTCAGGGAAAGTTGGCAAATTTATATATTTCTACAGATCATGAGTTATGAGAAAAATAAAGTAAGGAAAATAATGGGAAAAAGCATTATAATTCTGCAATTAAAATTAAAGTTTAACAGTTGATATAAGGAATCTACTGATGTCAAGTTGAAATGAAGACTAGGGGAGGCTGATGTGCAAAGTTAAGACTTGAAGATTACGCATAATGTGTGCCAGAACTGGGACGGGACCATGTCCCACTGAGGGAGTCATGATCAGCCAGTCATGCTGTTGTGTGTCTGTGGTCCTGTCTGCTGCTGTCATTGTTTTTATGAAAGCTTCTTTGAAATTTTAAAAATCTACATTCCCATGAGCCTATGTTCATTGTATTTTACATATAAATGTTGTATTCTTTTCTTGGTTGTCCCTATAAACAAAGAAGTATTTTAATAAGACATTGAAATGAGAAAAATAAAGGAAACGTTAATGTTTATATGCAAATAAATAAATAAATAAAAATAAAAAGCTGGTAGCTAATGTTACGCATGTAGTCATTAGCAACAGCAAAAAATTTAAACTCCTTCATTTTTTAATTGAAATAAAAATTTGATCACTTTTAAAAAAATGTAATTTATTGATTTCAGAGAGGGAGAGATATATCGAAACATCAATGATGACAGAGAATCATTGGCTAGCTGCCTCCTGCATACCCCATACTGGGATCAAGCCCACCACACGGATCGAACAGTGGCTTCTTGGTTCATAGGTCAATGCTCAACCACTGAGCTATGCCAGCCAGGCAAAATTTGGTCTCTTCAGCTAACTTCACCTAAGAACTTTAAAAAATTTTAGCACACTCATGATTTGATTTCTTATTTTGGAGGTCCCTACCACACTTTATATTAAACATTAAAATTGACTTACATTCCAAACAATATATAATTGAGTTGAGTGGAATTATGGTTGGCAACATTTTTAAAAAATCACTTTGATTTTTTAATTTTATGTTTCTGTTTTGGAATGTATTTGTATGTGAGTGTGTGTACGTATGTGTGCACAGGCGCCTATATATTGAGATATTTTCCCAAATGAAATAAATATTTTACATCTCAGAGGCTGTTGAAAGCTTTGTGGGCCCTCGGCAGTTTTCTAATGTTACATTTCTCTGAATATCCCAGCCTAACACAGTCCTATAGACTTCTCTTTGGTCATGTCCAATTTTCTACTTTATTTCTATCTTTATTCACCTGCTTACTCAGTCTTACCAGTAGTTTGCTTGGAGGGAGTCTGATTAATTGCAAGGCCACCAAGTGAGCACCTGTCATCAGCATCCAGTCAGAGGAAAGAATCCACAGCAGTCGTTTGAGCAGGGAAAATCCAATATAATTAATTATGAACTGGTAGAAGTGGTTAAGTAATAAAACAGGGTAAAAGAAAACCAATCAATGCAGAATTAGCAAACGCAGAAGGCAACGTCTGCTTCTAGGAGTGAAGCATCATGAACAAGGAAGACAGTGAGGCCTTGGCAGAGAGCCTTGCCACTGAAGGCCGAGTCAGAGCTCAGTGAAGAATAAGTTGGTGCTCCGGGAACCTGCTGCTGTCGCTGGTGAAGAAGCCTGTGAGGGTCTTTGCTGAAGCTGGTGTGTAAGCATATCCTGCCTGGTGGCTGAAAACTCCTCGCCTACCAACCTTCTGAAGCAACGCAAAGAGTGACGAGACATCTGAATCCCCAAGAGAAGCACAGAGAGAGTTGTCCTCTTTTGCTAGGACATCAGAAGATTCCTCCCATACCTTTTGTTGACAAAGCCTAACACTGTGCCAGCTGGCAAAGGGCCAGTGTTGACAGAGTCCTTCTGCAGTATCACCGAGAAGGGGAAAGGAGGGTGGATTTGGAGCTGAGAGGCAATACACCGATAATTGGTATACATAATAATGTGTGGATGGGGAGGATTTTGAATGAGAGCCAAGAGATGGTTTGATCACGGAACAGGTAGTTTGCTATTTGTCCAAATCTAGAGAAGCATGATGAAGATGGGGAAAATGAAACCTGAATTATCTATATACAAATGTAACACAGACATATACAAATATACATACTTAGTCATATTGCACATCTACCAGTGAAGACAGCACTCCATTTAAAAGCATGTATGTATTTTGTGAAAAGAAATAATTTGATCTTTTTGATGATCAAACGGAGTGATTCTCAACCTTGATATTATTTTTTGCTGGAAAGTAAGATAATGAGGGAAAGTTTGAATTTATATTAAATTTGTGTTTCCAATCAAGAAACCACGCTTGGCTGTGACACTTTAAATAGAAAGAAAGTTATTGTAATGGTAAGGGAAAATATAACCCATATCATTATCAGCCATATATAAAAATGGCTTGCAGAAGCAATTAGGCAATGGAAGAAAAGTAAAGGACAAATTTAATTTTACTTTTATCAGCTTAGCAGATACACTCATTTCTATGCAATGCACACACTGAAGCGAGACCTAAACCCCCAAGTCTTCCTGTTCAGGTCAGTGATGCAGATATGCTGTGACATTAGCTTGAGAGGAAAAAGCAGCATAGCAGAAAGTATTAAAAACCAAGAGAACAAACACACACACACACACACACACACACACACACACACACACACACGAACACT